CGTTTTAAACAGCTTATTGTACAGGTAAATTAATCGCCGTTCTAATCTAATGCGCTGCTGCACTGTAACGCAGGGGTTTTCAACCTGTGGGGCGCGAGCATCAGTTAATTCAGAGACGTTCTCTTAAAAATGTATGAATATGAGTTAACAAATCTTTAGCCATCCACTAGGGGGCAATCTGACTCCCACTGCTAGTCAACAGTTAGAGCAGAGTTGGCTCAAATCAGTGTTGCCAAGTCCGTGGTTTTCCCGCGAAACTGGGCTACTTTAACACTTGCTGCGTTTTGTAGTTTTGGGCTAGTTTTGAGTAGCAATTAGGCGGGTTTTCTTGTGAAAACCTGGCAACCCTGGTCACGCTTATTGACAGTGTAAGATGATTTACGATTAGCCGTGTCGGAAATCCAACCACGGATTGGCATGTATGATTGCTGTCCTTTATTTATTTTCTCCATTTGAAAACATTAGACATTTTACATTTATTTTGCTTATCAACCTTTAGTGATCTGATGTGGCTTCTTGTCACAGAATGAGGCAGAAAATATGTTCCATATGCTACTTTAAAAAGAATACATCGATTAGCAATGGATTATAAATTAGGGTGACCATACGTCCTCTTTTCCCCGGACATGTCCTCTTTTTGGACGTACAAAAATGCGTCCGGCCGGGATTTCTTAATTGCCCAAAATCTCCGGGATTCGGCTGTTTTCTTAATCCCACTCCCGCTGAATCTCCGACCATTGCCACCTGCCCGGAACCGTTTTAAAAGTATCGATTTGGCACCGGTATCGAAAATAACCCAAACGATACCCAGCCCTATTGGCATCCAGTTTTGTTTTGTAGTTATTAGCATAAAATACAGCAAACTACTTTGTTTGAAGCTTGAGCTTGTCAAACGCAGTCAGTGTGTGTAAACACCGAGAACATGGAATGAGATTGTTTACTTGTCTTCAGACAGTCCGAATGATTTTATTGGTGTTTTGACATGTTATTAAACATAATCATGATAAACAGTCCTGCGTGACTCTGCATGTCTGTGACGTGTGAGCTCACCAGCTCTTGGCTCAGCAGTCTGGCCAGTTTCTCATCGTTCTCCAGCTGCTGCTCCTCCCGTCTCCTCCTCTCCTCCGCCATGCGCTCCTCCTCCTCAGCCAGCAGCCGCTGGATGTACTCCTCACTGGCCCTCCTCTCGGCTTCCTCTAGAGCTCGCTTCTCCTCCACCAGCTGTTCAAAACAAGAAATGAGATCATGACCCTTCACCACAACACAACATAAATAACAAATTAAGATTTTATTCACTCTAATTGACAATGTGCATACAATAAAAAAATTAAAAAATTTAATTCATACTTGAAATAAGTCTTCAATTGTACACCACTGTTCAAAGGTTTGGGGTCAGTTTTAATTTCAGATCAGAAATTAATACTTTATTTAGCAAGGATGCATTAAATTGACCAAAAGTGACAGTAAAGACATTTATAATCTAAAAAAGATTAATATTTTTAACAAATGCGGTTCTTTTGAATTTTCAGTTTTCAACATTGATAATAATCAAAAAAGTTTATTGAGCAGTAAATCAGCATATTAGACTGATTTCTGAAGGATCATGTGACACTGAAGACTGAGTAATGATGCTGAAAATTCAGCTTTGAACACAGCAATATACAGCAGGATTTGCATGGAAAAGGAGATTTAATGGGACTGCAAAGGTTGAAAGCTCCTGCATTAGATGTATTCATTCATGTACGATCCTTTGACCAGCAGAGGGAACTACTGTTACACTCATCAATGAAACGTGAACGACTGCATCCCAAATCACTTACACTATGCATTATAAGGGACATTTCTATTTGGTCACTTTTTTTTAAAATATTATAATCCAAGTATGTTCAGCATACTATTGTCAACATATTATAATGTGAGACAGTGATTCACAATGATTGATTTCATTGAGTTCATCATGAAAGGACAAAAGTTATGTTATTAATAATCAATACCCTGTTGAAAAAAACAGCATATGCTGGTTAGGTATGTTTTGACGCTGGGATGCTGGATTAAGCTGATCCTTTGCTGGTTTATGCTGGTCCTTTGCTGGTTTAAGCTGGTCCTTTGCTGGTTTATGCTGGTCCTTTGCTGGTTTAAGCTGGTCCTTTGCTGGTTTATGCTGGTCCTTTGCTGGTTTAAGCTGGTCCTTTGCTGGTTTATGCTGGTCCTTTGCTGGTTTAAGCTGGTCCTTTGCCAGCACATGACCAGCATAAACCAGCAAAAGGACCAGCAAAGGACCAGCTTAACCCAGCATCCCAGCGTCAAAACATACCGAACCAGCATATGCTGGTTTTTTCAACAGCAACAGTTTACAAAAACATCTATACATTGTTGAATGGTTTATAAAAAGAGTCAAATATCAGAGTGTAGGTTTGTCTTCATGTTCAGGAGACGGACTGGAGGGAGACGAGATGTTGTTAGGACTCTGTGTTCTTCCTCTGTATCGCAGCTCAGAGACTTGCCTCTCCATTTCTTCAAGAACGGTTCTACTCAATGACTGGAGAGAACGACATGAGGGACAATATGCAAGAAAACAGAGAAAAATATACAGCGGTCCAACACTTAAAAATGCTTTAATTATTAGATTGGAATAATAGGTATTGCTATTAATGATAATATAATATATTCTGTCTCACCTGATTTTCAGCCAGTGCCTCTTTGGCCATGTAATGCTCTCGTTTGATCTTAATTTCCACCTCCTCTGGAATATCTGGCACCATCCAGTCAATAATACGACCAATCAGGAGAACAACATGCTGAAAAAACAACAACAACAGCATTGATGTTTAAAATTGTGTGCGGTCTTCATTTTATAATCATCTATATCAAATCTATCGTAAGGCACTTTATACTGAAAACTCTTCAACTATATACTAAAAAACTAAACTTTTGTATATTACTTTTAGTAGTAATTTCATAGTAAAGTATATTTTATGTACTGTACTAAATGTTTTTAGTTTTTGGAAGTAACATCATGCGCCCATTTTCAGAACAAATGTACATGCAAAGTTAAAAAAGGGATGTTTGCTCAAACTAGTACTACTGTGCACCTCAAATATAATGACGAAACTCAGTCGAATGGCCAGCAGATGATAGTAATCTTGTGTGGGCTGTCCTTTATCATCCCTGAGGCCTCGATATCTGAAAAAAAAAAACGCTCTTAATCAGCCTCTTTGTCATTCTAACCTTACATATCTCAACATGAAAAGCCAGGATGTTCCCCGACACAAAGAGCAGCTACCTCTACTACTTAGTGATGTGATTTTGAAATTTCTAGGTGTTTTTTAGAGTGGTACATCTTTGTATGCACATCCCATTTTATAAAAATATATACATTAGGCTATCATTCAAAAGTTTGGGCTTAGTATGATTTTGTAAAGAGTACTTTTATACTTTTAAGACTACTTCTAAAATACTTTTACTTGGCATTAAAAGTGACAGTAAAGACTTACTGTACATTGTTACAAAAAAAATTATATTTAAAATAAATGCTGTTCTTTTGAACTTTCTATTCATCAAATAATTCTGAAAAAAATGTATTGTGGTTTCCACAAAAATACGAAACTGCTTTCAACATTGATAATAATCAGAAATGTTTCTTATTATGATTTCTGGAGCATCACGTGACACTGAAAACTGGAGCAATGATATTGAAAATTTAGCTTTGATCACAGCAATAAATTACATTTTAAAATACATTCAAATAGAAAACAGTTATTTTAAACATATATCACAACATTACTGTTTTTAACTGTATTTTTATCAAATAAATGCAGTGAGCAGAAGAGACTTCTTTCGAAATCCTATACCAACCGCAAACTATTGAACAGTATATCAAGAAAATGGTATATCAAGAGTTTGATCTTCACCTGCATGTCATGTGGCTTTGGGTGAAGTTTGCAGGGGCCGCTGAGAGGGTGAAGTCGATGTATCCTCTCATGCTGCCTGTAGTGTAGCGATAATAGAGCCGCGGCAGGAAATCAGACGTGAAGGCAATCAGGAAAGCCTGGCAAAAGATCAAGGCGTCAAACAAGATATGCAGCCTGTCTAATTAACTTTATTTTGGACTAAAATTGTTGGACATCAAAAGCTGTAAATAAGCTTGGCACACAGAACAATGGCACACACACTGTAAGACTGATCCCAGAACTGTGCCAAGGGTTGAGGAGTAATGCCCGGTTCAGACTACACGATATTTTTGTCGGTCACGATAGTCACTGTGTCAGATTACATGATTTTGACTCCTAAAATCTTGTCGTGTCGTGGACAAGAAACATGTCAGATTACACGTTGCTTCCCGACCATTCATCGCGTGCCGTCTTTAACAAAATATGAGTAACTGTAGTCAGTTGCAGTTAAACCTATCATTTTTCTTTAATTTAATATAATGTATAATATAATATCAGATTATTTGAGTGCATCATTCTGCGTCAGTGATGCGCATAAGTGATGGTATATCCCTGACAAAGGTATCTGACTAGTCAATAGTAATCGTAAGACATTTGACAAAAAAAACTTGGTACAAGATAAACTTACTTGAGAAGCAACACAGGGCAGTTTTCTTCCGTTTTTATGGTTTTATGAATGTAAATTTAAGACTCTTTAATACCTTTTCAAAACCAAGTAAAGAACATTTTAAGAATAAATCTACAGGAACACAATACATCAATATCTTCTCTAAACGTAAATGTCTAGGGAGCAGAAAACGAATTGTATTGGCAACACTTCAAAGTGTGAAAATACAACTTACAACGCAGCTTATGGATTGAATACCTCTAATATACCCCACTAACAGATATTTGTTCTTGTTTCAAGCATAAACTCACTTTATGCAAAAAACAAGACTTTATATGTTCAATTTGCATCTCAAGTAAATGAATCTTGATAGATAATGTTCAGATAACAGTACTGGAAAACAAGACAGTAATTTTTTGCAGTACATGTAATGATATGACTTTATGAATTTAATACTTTCTGCTATTGTTTAAGAGTATTATTTAAGAATTTTTAAAATAATTTTTATAAGCCTTTTAAGACCCACAGAAACCCTGTTATACTTGTAAAAAATACAAATAAAAATTCTGCCAATTTAGGAGTAATATTTCAAAGTATTTATATTACATTAAGTCATCTAACGAAATATGTTACAGATTCGATTTTACAGCATGTATTCTGTAATCTATAGTGGAATACACTTTAATGTCAAAGTGCTGTGAAACTACAGCCTTATTTTCTGTATGGCATCATCACCATCAGATTTAATACATTATAAAAGAACTATGTGACATTTTACAACATGTCTCAAGATAATACAAACTAAATTTTGTGCAGGACAAGTTTGAAAATGTATGCTTTCGACAAAATTCAAAACGTTTTTTTCTTTCTTGACCAGCGGTTCAAATGTTTTATCTAAAGGAAAATCCATGAAAGTATTGAATATACTGCTGGTGGCACTAGAGGGGTGGAGAGACACTTTAATCACTGTGCTAAATCGTTTAACTTTTCACGGTTCTTGTCTCTCATCCAGATGCAGAATAAGATACATACAGATTGGTGCTTGGTCCCAAATGATCACTATAAATGACAAAGACACTTACATTACTGATGACAGCCAGGTAGGAAATGAACTTTAGGATGGTCAGCCAGATGCCAATGTCTTGTGCTCTTTCCACGACAGGCCTGCGGTACTCACACACAAACTTCTGGGCATCGAGACGCACCTCCACCCAATTATTTATCAAAGCAAACAATGGAGCCAAGGGACAGGCTGCTACAAAGATGGTGATGAAGCCAAACTGCAGAACTGACAAGATAAAGAGTTTCAAAATCAGCCTTCATCTGAGCTGAACGACAATGGCATTCAATTTGAAAGCCACCAAAATTTTAGTTTTTGATATGATGGTAATATATATTGTGTTGCAAATTAGATAAAAAATTAAAACTGATCTCTTCTAAACAGGCATACTGTAAATGTAATAAAAATGATAAGCCACGATAAGAACAAAACATAATACACATTGGGATTTTGAACGTGACACTGGGATATTAGAAATTATCTGATAAAATGACAAAGATTCACAGCACATAAATCAGTCTAAAGCAGTTCGGATGTGAATGTACTAATCTGAAAGGGGATTATTTCTGGTATCATAATAGCTGAACTGTCAGAGCTAATAAGCCATTGACTGGATAAAGTCTGTGGCTCTAATAGAATGAAGACCACGATACTTATCAGAAGATGTCAGAAGAGATCTTAAAATAAATAAATTATTTTATATATATATGTGTGTGTGTGTGTGTGTGTGTGTGTGTGTGAAGAGAGAATTCGGGTCAGTAAGAAAAAAAAAAAGAAATTAATAATTTTGTACAGAAAGGATGCATTAAATTGATCAAAAATTACAGAAAAAAAAACAATTTCATGGTTTCAAAAATCTGTTTCAAATAAATGCTGATCTTTCGAACTTTCTATTAATCTGAAATAGATTAAAAAATGTATTCACAAAATATTAAGCAGCACAACTGCAACGTTGATAATAAAAAGAAATGTCATGCAAATCAGTCAAATCAGAATCACGTGACACTGAAAACCTGAGTAATGATGCAGAAAATTCTGCTTTACATCACAGGAGTAAACTACAAATATAAAACAGCTATTTTAACATATATATAATATAATAATATTATATTTGTACATCTAAAATTCAGTCTAAAATAGATACAAGAAACATAAGGACTCACCCATTTCCAGATACTCATCGAACAGCCCCTCACACACCAGCAGCTGATA